TTTTATTTATTAATAAAATATTATTATTTAATTTATTAATTTATATACTGATAATATATTAAATATAAGCTCAAAATATATATAATAAATATTAGTTAAAGGGTCGTTGTAGTTGTGTTTACATATTCTGAAAATGCAGCAGGAACAAGGAAAAACCGATCAACCTTGTAGCAATCAAAGCACTATTGACCGACAATTTTGAAGGGTTGATGGTCATATGATCTGACACTGTTGTTGAACCAATCTTCAAAGAACAAGACATATGGAAGCGTTTAATTAGTGCTTAAAAGCTAAATCAAATAGGAGATTAGCCAATAAAAAATGTGCTTTGAGATTAACTAGTTTCTTTGTGGTCGGAATCACGGGAAGATTTTTCTTTTTAAAATAAAAATAAACAATATCTTAATAATGAAATTATTGGTGAGAAATGATAACACATGCTGGAAAGCCAGCAAGGAACGGGATTTTGTTTACTATAAATTCGGGCCCCTAATTTTGTCTTTTTATTTTGGTTTGTGAATGTCAACTTCAATTGTACATGATAAATAAAAATTTAAAGATAAATAAATTATTTAATTTTTTAAATCAAGATAAAATATATTATATTTAATAATTTAAAATAAATAATTATAAATTATATATTTAAAATAATTTTAATAAATAATTATCGATAAAATTTAAATTTAAAATTTTTTCATCGAAAAAATCGAATTTTAATCAAATCAAATGAATTAACTACTTATTAGTAACAAATATTTTTATTTTACTAGCTCGGCAACATCGCCAACAATGGGTAGAATGATATTTTTATTCTCATATAATTTTCAAATTTAAAATTTAAAATTATTAAATATGATCTTTTAAAAACAACAATCGAACCAAGCTTTGAAAATTTATATAAAAGTTAGGGAATAAAAAGTTGGTGGGAAAATAGTGCCTTTCTTGACAGAGAAATTAAAATATTATATCCAGTAAAAAGTCAGATGTTTTTATCATTCATCTAATTGATTAATTTGATCATCTTTACAGTAAGGGGACTCGGATTTGAACTCCATTGATCTGTTAAGGTTACTTGAGATGAAAGTCTTTATCTATTAAAAGCAATTATTAATAATTATATAATCTACTAATAAAATATTAAATTTTAATTTTAGTTATCAAAATGCAATAGTTGATTTAGCAATTTTAAGTAAAAAATGTTAGAACAAATTATGGAAAAGTATATACACTTATTTAATATGTTCATTTTACTCGTTAACATAATATATAAATTTTTAAAATTTATATAATTTATAAAAATTTTAATATTTTTTCATTTAAATCTCTAAAATTATAAGTGAGTGTGAAATAGATTTTATATAAAAGAAAGTTAGATTTCTCATGAAAAATTAAGCCCATGGAATATACAAGATTTAAAAGTTCCTGTAAGCCAGTAAAATTTTAATCTCCTCTTTAAAAACGACATAACATGACTAGTTCTTAACTACATTTATGGAATACCGAATACCTCATCTCTTTTTTTCTAAAGTCAGCAGCACATGCAGCTAGTGGCTGAAATTTCATGCAGCACGTCAGGCATCTATCTTTGCTTCGTAGCCATGCAATTTAGTAAAGTGCAAGGCAAGAGCCAAGGGATAAAGCATCTGTTTCATCGGTGCTTGATGACTCTAAAATCATACCCCCCCCCCCCCCCCCCCCCCCATAGAAGCTTGTTCAGAGGTTGATTTCTTGTTATTATTAGGCAATTTGATGGGAGGAAAAAATGAAAATGACCAAAATCATCTGCTTCATTCTTCGTCAAATGATTAACTTAAGTTTGTACATGATAATTTGATGAAAATGTTCAAGCTACGTGCTTGTGTAGTGTAAAATGGATGACTGATCTTTAGTATAAAAAAATCATAGCCTTGAATTTATAAGCTTGAATAAGTACAAATGCTTGCTTGTTCATTAGTTTTCTACTAGGAAAGGCTGACAATTGATTGGAGTTGATCATATTCCACTGTCAGAAAAATAGTTTTTTATTAATGAAAAATTTTTGCAATAAATTGTATCATTTTTTTTATCTATAGATTATCGATAAAATTAATTTCGTCGGTAAATTTCGTTAATATTTAGTGACTGATGATTAAAATTTTTTATAAATACATTTTATCAGTATTTCATTAATATTTTATTGGTAATTACTAACAAAACGCCAATATTTATGACAGTGTTATAAGATTGATTATTTACTATGAGTTAGAACTTATCAGTCATCTTCCCCATCCCTACTCATTACTCATAGAAAAGGTTGATTATTGGTGTGAAAATACTCCAATTCTTTATTAATATCCTAATCATTGTAGCATGATAAATCATCTTACTCTAAAAGACTGAAAAATATCTTAATTCCAACACTAAAAAAGAAAATTGATCTATTGTAAAGAAAAATTTTCGTTTGATTTAAAACATAATAATTTTTTATATTTAAAATTAAAAAAAAATAATATTTTATTAATAAATTACACTATGGTTGACAAAACATAATGAATTTTCACAAATACCAAAATTACTCTTGCTTAGGGGAGAAGCAGATGGGTAAAAACAAAAAACAAGCTCTTAAATTCCACCTCAATTTTTATGAACTTTTATCTGAAATTATTTGCTTTTGTAAGAACGGTGTTTGAAGTAAGAGTGCAACAGAGAGTCGATCAAATTGGTGCATAGAGTGGAGGACACGAAAACTTTTTTCTTTTCTTTTTCTTCACATCGCTAAGGCATTTCTAGTTCACAAGACAAATAAGCCTTTTTTTTTTTCCTTTATTCCCTATTGGTTCCCTATGTTCTAAAGCAATACTTAAACAAGTCGCTTGGGACTACTTAATATCTGTTTGGATTTAATCACATATTCAATATAATGTAATTAAATTTATCGTATCATTAGTTAAATTCAATTATTAATTTAAATGAAATTCATTTAGTATAAATTTTTTATTAAAATTTTTTAATTATAATTATAATAACTTTTTTTAATTATAATTATAATAATAATAATAATTATTTTTAATCTCATCGTAATTAATCTCACCGTTGATCAAAATGAAATCTTAATTGCAATCTCAATCTCTTATATTATTCAAAGGGCAATTATAATTAAATATAATCTAGTTCTTTGATGGAGTATCTTGGAGTCAAATCTGTCTTGGTTTTTTCTTGAATTTTTTATTATATATTTTTTGTATTTGAAATTATTAAAATTTGAACTGTGAGCTGTGATAATAAAAATTTAAAATTTAAAAATTTACTAACTCTACATGTGATTATTGACTTTATTATTATTATTTTTTGTCTTAATTGGGAATGCACTTGGACTTCTTACTTTTTCCCCAAATTCCCTCCTTAGCCAAAGGTAGAATGTAGAAGACAAAATAAGTAGTATAAAATATATGAATTGTCTTGTTCGGCTTATCCTTTGATTAATGATTCTTGCAAGCTAAGATTTGCTTGCAATTGGCTTCAATCCACGAACAAATTACATATTTTTTTACATTTAAAATTATCAGAATTTAAAGTCATTAAAATTAAAATTTTAATATTCTATTAATAAATTATGCAATTGTTGGCAAATATGTCATTTAAAAAATAAAAAACTAAAGTTGGACATATGACTTTAAGATTTATAGTTTAATTGGTACAAATAAAATTCCTTTACAACAAGGTTTTAATTTCAAATCTTTCTATCTCTGAATTTACATTGCATTTATATAAGAAAGGTCAAATAAGACTTTAATGCTTTTAAACCAATATTAGAGAGCTGAAAGTGTTGGAAAGTATACTGATTGAAAGTGATCATCAGAGATGGTCCATGTGTTTTTGAAAAAAAAAAAAAATGAGGACTTTGGAAGGCAAAGGAGTTAAACCCAATTACCAAAAGCTTCAAATTGGTTTAATGGATTTGTATCAGGAGAGAAAGAAATGGGTTGAGCATTCCCCATTGTAAATTATGAAGAAATTAACCCTCCAACTTTCAAACAAAAATTAAGATACTTCTCTTTATGGAAAATTAATAGTAAAATTTTGACTAGGAAAATTTTGGTTTCTTCAAGTCTATGAAACTGGTCCATGGATTATGGAAATCAGGATATGACTTATTTTTGTCACATTGACCAACACATTGAGCTTAAAAGAATCCCAAGTTGCCATCCGGAACGAAAGAGAGGCCCAGTTTCACAGGGCCGAGATACCGATGGTTGAAACACGGCTTAAGCCTAGAGGTAGCGATGGGTGGATGATTTGGCCTACGTTTTTGGTTGTTGGAACTTGGAATGCTTTCTGGTTTTCTGTTTTCATTGAACCACCAAAATTTGGGCTCGTTTTGCTTCAGTTAACATCAAATCATGGTAAATGAAATCGAGTTGCCATAGTCATAGGATTAGCCATTAGCTGTATGCCTATATGGAGCCAGGGCACTAAAAAGACATAGAAAAAGTTAGAATCTGAGGTAATACTGGTCAGGTCAAAGATCGAAGATCATCAATTTCCCTGATGAAGGTGATCTCCACCGTCAATCACACCAGGCCCCACACTCTGCCACAAATATCTGAGCCTCTTTTGGTTCTTTTTCATTCATGTGCCCCACTGAAACCTGTTCCTTTCGTACTCCCTCAGTAACCTTTTTCTTTAATCAACCGACGTCGTTTTAAAGCAAGTTTGTCTTTGTGTGACAAAGTTACAACTGGTCCAGTTCAGATACTCCCCAAGTCCCGTTGAACAAAATACAAATATAGACAACAGTCTCGATTCCATAAAACGGAAAAGAGAAAAAAAAGAAAGAGAAAAGGACAATTGTCCTCTCTCTCTGGTCTACATAGAACATGTTGGGGTGGGGTCTTGGGCAATTGGCATTGCAAAAGTTCACACTTCCCACACCCAATGCACAGTCTTTTTTTTTTCGTTCCACGCGTCCCAATGCACAGTAGGAAAGTTGACCCTTCTGTTCAATGTAAGATGTAATAAATCTGGGTGCCAAAGATTTTGCAAACTTTCTATGCTGTTCCGCATGCAATAATGCATTCCATGCTTGCTCTTTAGGTCTTGTATTCTCGTGCGCTAGAGTTTGGTGAAAAAACATATAGAAATATAGGTAGTTTTGTTTTAAGGGTACAGGTATAATCCATCCATGGTGAACATATAAAATAGGCTCAAATGGCTTCTTTTGTACACTTCAAAGAGTAAATCCACTTGACATAACTTGCACAGGGGGAGCCGAGGGAGGGAGGAGTCAGAGACACAGGTTGGGGTTTAAAGGGTTTGCAAGAGTTTTTAGAGTTCCCAAGTGTTCATCTCCGCCCCAACACAAGTTCATTTTCAGATCTTTATTGTGGACAAAAATGTTGAAGATAGGGTTAATCTTTTGCTTTTCCTTTTTCTGCTTTTTGGGTCTTACTGGTAAGTAAAAGGGTAAACCTCAAAAAACTAGACCTATAAAAATGTGGGTTCTTTTTCTTCTTCATCTTTTGAAAAATTTTCATGTTCTTTATTTGCAGGCGCAGGTCAAGAATCTGTTGAATACCTTAACCTTTATGACACAACTCCTGAGGTTATTCATGCATTATCTCACAGCGATCTTCCTGTAGCAGTTCCTGTGAATGGCAATGTCCTCAGGGAGGTTTCTGGCAGTGTTTTGAAGGCTGAGAGTTGGCTCAGGCTTCATGTTCTAGCTCACTTTCCAGCTACCAAGATCACTACCGTTCTTGTGGGTGACAGTCTTCTTTGTCAAAAGGATCAGGAAGACAGCTTGGATCTTTTACTACCCTCTCTTAAGAACATTTATCATTCTCTTACGAGGTGGGGTTTAGAGAAAGATATCAAAGTGTCGGTTGCTTTCTCTTCCAGTTGTTTGCACCAAAAGTCTCCTCTTTTTAGTGATGATTTGGCTAAGAAGGTTGTTAAACCTCTGCTGCGGTTCCTTCAAAACACAAACTCTACTTATTCCATTAGCCCTCCTCCGAATTTGTCTTCCTCTTTACATGAAAGTTTGACTTTATTATCTTCCCACCTGGATTTCATGAAACGGTTTGGATCTTTTGAGCTTACGAAGGTCAATGTGGTAGTCTCGAGTCAACTAGAGAAACAAATCATAAGCAGGAAGCTCTCAGTCATGGATTCCAAGCTCGTAAAGCCCCACTCAGCTAGGCCAACCCCTTTACCAGAAATCGCTCCTTCTACCTTCCATTCATCTATTGGCTTTTCTGGGCCCGCCAATGTAGCCAAAAAGCCTCATCCCCCACAGTACCCTACTGCTTCACCTCCTGCAATTTCCTTCCCTGTTGATTCTCCACCACCATTTTCCTTCCCCATTGCTCCAGAGTTGCCTCCGCCTTTCGTTCCCGCCAGCTCTCCTAACGGTTTCTATTTGCCTCCTTGTAATCCAGCCGATAACACAGCGCCAGCACCAAAGGTAGGAGTGGTACAAAGGCTGTGGTGTGTGGCTAAGCCCAGTGTTCCCGCTGAGACTCTACAGGAAGCAATGGACTACGCTTGTGGTGAAGGTGGTGCTGATTGTGAAGAGATTATGCCTGATGGGAGCTGTTTCTATCCAGATACCGCTGTTGCTCATGCTTCTTATGCTTTCAATAGCTACTGGCAGAAGACCAAGAGAAATGGAGGAACTTGCAATTTTGGAGGCACTGCTATGATCATCAATGCTGACCCAAGTAATTAACATAATCTATAATTTGTCTCATTTAAATTTTAGTTCTCTTGCCTTGGTTTCTTTTGAAAGTTTTTAATTACAGTATCGGTTAATGTTTGTTTCAGGTTTTCTTCAGTGTCTGTTTGTTCTCAGCTGAACAATGGGGAATGTGGGTTTGTTTCAAAATAAAGTATGATTTGTGGGGTCTGACTGCAAGGTGAATTTGTCTGCTTTTTCATGTAGCAAGTAGGACTTAAAAGTTTTGTTCCTCTTTAACCATGTAGTCATGGAGTATCCTATGACAAATTTGCAAGACTTTTTTTACTCTAATTCTATATATATAATGCCCTTTTGCTTTAGTCATATTATATCTTTGTTTGATCTCTTCACTTTTGCTTCATATCTCTTTGCTGGATTTTCCCGAGAAAGTAGTTTCTTTGTTGTTTTTCCATTTCCTATTGGGAATGCTTATTCTAATGGTTCCCAACTTTGCTCAATCAATGTCAACATGTTCACAAAGATGTCTAACAGTTGAGCGATTTTCTCTAACTTATGTTTGCCATTAAACAAATAATCTATCATTTTCATGATTCAAGAGATAATTTTTGAAATTCCTAGATCGTAGTAGCACAGAAACCTGTGAAGCACTGAAGCAGATGCGGCCAGTTTTTGACCATCTCTGCTTGCCATAGCAACGTTCTGTTCTGCACTTTTGCTGATATTCGTTCATTCATTTAAGCTTATGTGTGTCTTCATAATAAAACAAGGTTAGATTTGTTGAGGATCTGCATTCTTCTGTCTTTTCTCAATGTGATCAATTCAAAACATGAATGAAGCTAAGGTGTCCTTCATGGATAAATGCAAGTTATTTATTTGTTTGAAGTAGGAATTTTTGCTGATTGTTTTGGGAGTTGAAACCAAAATGAGAAATTGAAGTCTCCATAACTTTTGTGGGATTATAAGAGGACTTAGAGCTTTTTGGATTGGTTTAGACAACTTGTTTACGGCCGCAACATGAGACCAACATATCCAAAAATGTTGTTGGGTGGCAAAAACTCCTGTTTTGGATTTGTTAAGTGAAATATTGGCAGCAAAAAGATGCACATTAGGAAGCCACTCTTATCAGAGCCAGGTTTCGATCCTGGGACCTGTGGGTTATGGGCCCACCACGCTTCCGCTGCGCCACTCTGATTTGTTGAAACTTAATTATCGCTAAATCTTTAAGTCAGTAAACTAGAGGAATTTGCTATTCCAGTGAAATTTATACTCGTAGTAAAAGAAAATGGGCAGCCCATCAGTTCTTTACGTCTTCTCATTTATTAGGTCAAGAAAATATGAGTTGCCCACCAGTTCAGCCTTTTTATAAAGTATCCTTCAAATCTTGCTCAACGGGTCAAAGCAAGTTTTCGGGTGATTTGATTTTGCATTCGAATTCAAGTTTGATTTTATATTAAATTTTTTTTAATATTTAATTCGTTATATATATATATATATATATTTATAAACATGATTAAGTTTATCGGATTTGAATTAATTTAATAATTTTAATTTAATATATATTTATAAAATATTATTTTTGAAATATATATTATAATTTAATTATACATAAATTATTTTAAATATAATATTTTTATTAAGTTAATGTCTCAAATTAAAATATTAAATAATAATTTTATTAATATAATATATAAATATAAAATTAAATAAATATATTTATATACATATTCCAATCAAATTAGGATAGTATCACTTGAACCGATCTTAAAAAAAAATCCCATCTAACTTTGATTTTTTTTAAAAAAATTGATTTTTTCAAATTTAAATGTATGAAAACTCATTAAATATTGAATTTAAATTTGATTTTATATTTGAATTCAAGTTTGATATTAAAATATTATTTTTTATATTTAATTTGATATGTATATTCATAAACATGATCAATTTTATTGATTTTGAATTAATTTAATATATATTTATACAATATTATTTTTTAAATATATATTATATTTTAATTATATAATATAATATTTTTATTAAATTAATATATTAAATAATAATTTTATTAATATAATATATAAATTTTAAAATAAATAAATAATATATATTATATATATATTCTAATCAAATTAAAATGATATCACTTAAAACCTAACTCGATCTTAAAAAAAAAAAAATCTCATCTAACTTTAATTTTTAAAAAATTGATTTTATTAAATTCATATGAATCAAAATTCATTAAATATTAATTTTTAAGGAACTGTGATTTGCAAGTTGCAAGTCACAGTGGAGTAATTCTAACATTGCACCAAGACGTATCCTATACCGTGAAGTGTGAACTATCCAGCAGTTCCATAACTTGCATATTGCATACTTCCATGGAAAATTTTTTTTTCTAATTTACTGCTGCTTAAGTTCTGGACATTGCAAATTAAATAGGAAAAAGAAGCCATGATTTCATTATCTTCATTGCAGATTGGACCAGCTAAAGCAGTTGAGTGCTTATCCGAAATGTTTTCATTCTGTCCAAGTAAAACCAATATCATCAGACAAACTGAATAAGTGAAATTACATGAAGTAATAGCATATTTAAAAACATAAAATTATTTCCAGTACTCAATTTGGTTATAAACAAATATAATTCAACTATAAATTCAATCAAATAACGAATATAAAGTTTATAATAAGGTCTAAAAAAATAAAGCATACCTTCTTATTCAGAGCTTGAGCCTCCTTAAGTTCATAAAATTTAATCATCAACATCTCTTCTTCTACCTCCAACGGTAAAAACCTCATATTTAAGATTTAACTCAGGTAAGGCGGGTGTAATTCATGAAATTTAGCTGAAGTTTATGCAATTCATGAGAAATTGATGAATGAGATTCCGAAAGTATCTCATTCTGCTTCTCCAAATACCTGCAAAATATAAATTACAACAAACAAGGTTTCAGTTTTAAACAAAGTTTCATTTTCAATTAAAAAAAAAAAGTAAATTTGGTTCAAAGCTAATTGATTATCTCCCCGGTGTATCATGGATCCATAGAAAATTGAAGCTTCACATTCCAATAATATAATTCGAAAATTATTTCCAGGCAATCAACGATCAACTAAATAGAAACTTTTTTTTTTTTCCTTGCGGGGAAGAGTGGGTGGAAAGGGTAAAATAAACGACGTCGTCAGTGGCGAAATTTAGAAGAATAAATTTTACCGAATAAAAAGAGAGAGAGAGAGAGAGAGATGAAAAGGTTGGGCTGAGTGGTTCCAAAGGCCCAAATGAAAAGCCGAGTAATTTTTTTGAGTCCAACTATAAGAAAAGAAGAAATAAAATCCAATACAAAATCTAATAATCATTTTTAAAACGTAAAAATCATATATATTAATATAATATACAAAATTACTAAATAATATTTGCTCCGCAGGAATTTCTTTTGGGTTCAAAATAATTTTTTACCTATAAGCAACATAAAATTTCACATTGTGGGCTGATATTTAACTGTTGATAGCTATTTTAATATAACATTTTCAATTTATTTGTAACAATAAATTTGAATTAATAATTTTACAAATTCTAAATATTTTAATTAATAATTAAAATTAATATGTGCGTTGCATGAGTTACAAGTTAGTTATATATATTTCATATGAAATTCACATTTATAAATAATTAAACTCTATATAATTTTTTTTATGATTAAACAATTATAAGATTATAATAAAAAATTATAATAAAATGCTCTCATATATATTATTAATATTCTGCCCTTGCTTTAAACGTGGGACCATTTTTCTATATCAATAAAATAATTGTAGAAACATAAAATTACAGTTAAATATTATCTATACTCAAGATCTAAATACAATATTTCATATTTTAGTATATAAAAAATTACAAAGGATATCAAACTTAATTAATTTAGTCTATGTTAATTTCGATTAGTTATGAAAAGATAATAAAACATAAATCCAACAATTATTATGTATTAACTCATAAGTCAAAATATTATTTAACTTAGATTCTTTTTTTTTTTAATCATTTAACCATCATAATATATTTGTTTTGATTCAACATTTAAATTAAGTTGAAAAAAAAAATCACAGGCATCAATCCATGTTACCATTCAATTTTTTAACATTTGGTGATCTTCTAACAATAAAATAATTTTTGTTTAATTTAATAAATAAATATTACTAAACTTTTTATAGAATAAGAAATATTAAATTTAAAAAATAGATATAAATTTCAATATCCATTCAACACCAATTTTGAATTTCCCGTACAAATCAACATAAAAATTACATCTACAAAAATCAAGATTCACCGGATTCATAAAAACTTAAACCTCGAGAAATCTACCAATATAATAATTTTTTTATCCAATAATCAAATTATAAAAAACTCCAAAAAAAAAAAAAAAAAAAAACTCAACGAGTCCCATTTACTGTAAAACTAAGGAGTTTTCCGCCCTTTCTTGTATTGGATGTTCCGGCCAAGCTCATTTCTGTTTCGATGGTAGCAAAACATGGCTGCCGTGTGGTACAGTTGTAGAAATAATGTGGCCCCCATTAAGTCGTCGGCAACAACCAAAAACATGACCTAGTCACTCGGGTCACCACTCACTGCCTTTATAAGCTACCAACTAGCAATACGTTCAAAGTAGAGCAAGTCATGTTAGTAACAAAAACCCAAAATAAACAAAGCAAAAACAAATATATTACACGTCATGACTAAGATTTCAGCAAATTACTTTTTCTTTTCACGCATTTGAAATACCAAAAATTTTTAATGAGTCAATTAATTAAAATTTATCTTCATAAATAAAAAAAATTTAAATTTAAATTTTTGATAATTACTGATCATCTCGAATTAGAGATTACAATTATTTATTTTAAATTATTAGATATGATATATTTTATTTTGATTTGAATGATTGAATAATTTATCTCAAATTTAAAAAAAAAAAAAAAAGGAATTGGTATGCTTGGATGCTTCAGAGTTGGCCCTTGACTTTTTTTTTGCTTTCCTACCGTCCATTTTGCAAGTATTCCAAATTTCCAGTATTGAGATTGGATATTTTAGTTTATAATGTTAGACGATTTTTTCTTGTTGATTGGTCTAATTGTCACTTATTTTGGATATTTTCTCTGGTTGGAGTTCGGCCTGAAATTGTCCTAACCACGTCTCGTTATCACGTTTGTGCTGGAATTAACCCGATCATTGAGAAGGGCTGAGATATTTACTCTCACAATTAGTGGTCCAGTTGAGCATCCTACCCGTTGCTCGATTTCTTGTGGGTCAATGCGTGATCCCGCTCACCACTCACCGGTTGATGGATCCGTAGGGTCGTAAGATAGAAGGACCCAAGTAATTTCGAGAAGACTCAACAACCAGCAAAGTGGCAAGCTGGCCGCCTCGCATACCAAGTGACACGCCACGCAATCAAAATCAGACGACCGAAAAGGAAAGTCAAGTTCCCACTAGGCCACTTCTGCTATGGCAAACATGGTGCAAACGCTAAGCACACCCATCTATATATCCAATACAGTGAGATGCTGACATTACATTTCAGACAATCTCCCATGTTTCCACTACAAAATTTCCATCTCACAAAAATTAAATTATAAACGAATGCTTATAACTAAAGTATAGTGTAGGTTTGGCATTATATATAGTTATATTCAAAAATTAATGTTTTGAACCTGTTGGAAAGTCACAATTTTCTTGAAGCTTCAATTTTGATTTGGAATTTATACGCTTGTTTGACATTGGGATCTTGAAGAATAAATCAATATTTGGGTATCCAAACCAAATGCCAAACTCACCTAAAAAAAGTTCCTGTTCAAATTACTGCATATAAATGTTATTTTTTAACTGGTAAAAGCTAGAAAGTTGAAGAAGAGCAGGTGTTGGTTTTTGACTTGGAAACAGTCGTATGATTAAGTCACCACTTAGCAGACTACACCAAAATTTCACTCCATTTGACATTCCTGCACAATTACAAAGACCTATTTGCTTCTGTTTAGAACTATAATAACCCATGCCACACTTCACTATCCCGAAGGACGAATTTATCAGACGTGAGAACATACCTCAGAGTAAACTCTCTTCAACTGTTCACAAATTCTCCAGTCTCCCCCCATCTTTCTCTCCACTTATTAAGCACTTTCCTTCTATCCTTCTCTTCCATCTTCCTAGCTAGTTCCTCCCCATATAAAAATCCTTCCTTCTTGTTCGCTCAAACACTACGATCACTCAAAACCATTCAAAACCGTCTCTTTAATGGCTCTTGAAACGTTGAATTCTCCAACTTCAGCACCTCCACTGCTCCACCATGATGATATAGTCGACCTCCACTGTGTTGAGCAGTGGACAAAGAGGAAAAGAACGAAACGACCCAGAATTGAAAACCCACCAACGGAAGAAGAATACCTAGCCCTTTGTCTTCTCATGCTGGCTCAGGGAACCACTACCAGAACTAGCCCCTCAGCTGCAGCCAAAAACTCCCTCAATCATTACAAGTGTACAGTTTGTAACAAAGCATTTCCATCTTATCAAGCTTTAGGAGGGCACAAGGCCAGTCACAGGAAACTTGTTGGAGCTGAAGAACACCCCACCACCACCACCACTGCTGCTGTATCTGCTGCTGCTGTCACCACAGCCACGGTGGCTACTAATTCACCTCCCATAAACCCAGGCGGCAAGACTCACTTGTGTTCGATTTGTTACAAGACGTTTGCTTCAGGTCAAGCCTTAGGAGGACATAAACGATGCCACTATGAAGCTGGTAGCAACAATAACAGCGGCAGCGATGGTGTTAAATCGTCGAGCCAAAGTCAACGTGACTTTGACTTGAATTTACCTGCTGTACCAGAGGAAACAACTATTGACGTTAATAAAAAAGATGAAGAGGTGGAGAGTCCTTTGCCGCCGGCGAAGCGCGGTAGCTGCCACGTTCGTTGAATGTCATAGTAAAAAAGTTTAGATTTAGAATCTCAGGCGAATGATTGGAGTGGACTTTGCTGTCTTATTTAGTTCTTTTTATTTTAGCATGTTCATCGTTACTTGTTTATGATTTTTTTTTTGTTGGGACATTAATGTAGTAATGTTTATGTACATGAGGATTGAGGAGATTATAAAAATTTTCTTTGGTTGAATTAAGATTAGTAAAATTCTTTTAACTAAATAGTAACGATCTTCAATTTTGCTATTAAGAAACATTTCACATGTTTATGTCTCATTAAAATTATTTACAACCCAAAAAAAGAAAATGAAAAACCCATTTTTAATTCCAATTCCAGTGAAGAACTTGTATCTTTTTCTTGTGTAAAGGAAAAAAGAAAGCAAGGAAACTACATTGAAAAAGCATTCATACAATTTTGACCAAGTTATTTAGACAAACTCACAAGAAAATAATTTTTTTTTTGTCATTAAAGGGATCAGAGCCCTACATTAAAGGAAAATGAGAAGACCCGAGGTTTCAGCCTTGATGTCCTCTTTAAAGTTGTCTTGATCAATAAATCAAATAGTTGAAAATGAAAAGAAATTTTAATTAACTCTATTCATATAACAATTTGATTGAAATTATAACTTTTTTATATTTGATGTTATTAAAAGACTGAAATTTAATAATTAAAATTAAAATTTTAACATTTTATAAACGACGAACATTCCTGCAGGCTATAAGTGTTTTGATGTGTAATATTTACTTGTGAAAGTAAAACTAGTTAATTTCAATAAAAAAATATATGTGATTTTCCTTTATATAACTTAATCCATTTTATTAAAAAAAAAAGCCATAAAAAAAACCATCAAGGACACAATGAAAAAAGTTGACTTCAACATTAATAGGGATAAAGTTTTATAAGATTGGAGAAAATTCCCGTCATCTTGACGAGAATCCAATAAATCTAGCTCTAAGTTTCAAAAAATTACTACTACTACTTATGATTATAGTAATTAATATATCTGTTTGATCTCATAATTGAAATTTACCCATGTGAATTGTAACTTCTGTAAATATTTTTTTTTTCATTCAAAGGAGTGGTTAGAAGTGTTTAGATAATGGAGGAACGAGTCCTAACAATACATTTAGAAAATACATTACTTAATATAATAATATTAAAATAGTTGCTAGTAAATTAGCAAAATCCTTTTTATAATTAGAAAAACATGTCCAAAACCATAACTACTGGCCTTAATCAAATTAGATCATTACCTAGAACTAAAGTAACTGGTGTTATCCAATTAGTCCAAACCTGTCTATAGTTGGGTGGCAACAAAAAAAAAAAAAACTCAGTATTTTGATTGGTCAAGCTAGCCATGTGATGCATTTGAGGAAAAGAAAATAAATGAAATGAAATCCTTAATATCCCTTAAGACTTTGGGGATATGTAAGGGCACCAACAATCTAAAAACATGCACGTTGCTTGTCTCCAGCTCACCCTCGAGATCCCACTGGATCAGTCCCTTCTGGCCTATCTATAATTAGGAGATTCTGGTTATTTGTATATGGTTTTCAAATGTGAAATCCTATACCTAACCCAAAACTTTTGGATCTCTAAATATACATCTCATCTTCCCTGTTTGTCAATAGATTTATTGATTGGTCGACACACATATAAATGTTTGGTCAAATCTTTAATTTTCCCTTTGATAGCGCAATAAAGAGATGACTCCAAATCCAAGTCTTTCTTTTTTTAATTTGCTTTGATAGTTTTACCAAATTTGATCATGCTAAGAGTGCAAGAGTTTAAGCATATTCCAGCATCAATATGACTGACAAGATTATTATTGATCAAACATCTTGCTTCGAATTTTGATTCTATTAAGTCTCGAATTCATATTATGATTACAATTGCCGATTGCAATTACAAATTAATTACAACGCCAAATTGGGTTGCTATCTTCTTTTTTGATTAAGCACAAAGTCACCGCAATCAGGATTTTTTTTTTTTGGGTCATATTTTTTTATCCTATTTGAGATCAATAATACCAAATGAACTTAAAAATGTTTGTTGCTAAGACTATATTATAACACTTTTAGATACAAAAACGACTCAGTCATCGATGTTAGAAAAATTGCATGACCTAATTAAAAGTCTGAAGTCTAAACCAATAGGTAAGGTCTTGATGTTAGAATTATTGGTTTTCTTTTAAAGAAAAACAAACAAGCACTTAATGTTCACTGGCTCTTGAACTGGCTCAAGAAGGAATGGGTAGACTATGGAGCTGGCCTTGGAACCTGATTGGGTCCATGTTTTATAATTTTGCTATTAAATAAAAATGGTTATAATTCAAGACAAAGACCAAAACTTTGACAGGGTCATAGTTGAAACTTGTTTAATTTCCAGCTGATCAAGTCCACTTAGGCATTGCATGTGATGTACTTTGTTTGGAAACTAATAACGATTACGTCAAAGCTCAAACTGCAAGTTTTCTCTGATCGGGGACAAAGAAATTTCAACTGCCCTAGACCAGGGCTTTAAAAAAGGGCCTAGGTTTGGGTCCATCTACTTCTGCTAACCCAAGCCAGAACCGCAATTGTAGGCCCATTACTCTGTTCAGCTGTCTCGAGTGGTCCAGCTCTAACTTTTTCAGCAACGTCGTTTCATACATCGAAGTTAACACGCACAAAACGCTCCTATAACTACAAATTGGCAGACAACTCCGTGACTAATGCCGAAATGAGACAGACAGGTGATGAACATGATGGATTGAACCTGCAATGTTCATGTTCGTTTGTTGTTACTCTCATACAAAAGCCTGCTGTTCACCTGTTCCCCCCCAGCTTCAGTTCAGCATCGCCATCATAAACAGCAAAATCATCTCGCGCACTTTGTCCTCACTTTCATCACTAGATTCATATGGGTTATTTTCTTTTAAATACATACGTGCATGTACACATGCATACATTAAATTTTACAAATTATAACAGTTTCTCGCTCTTGGTCGAGAATCATTAGAGGATAATATGATATTATACTATCGTTTATACAATACATATTGGGATTTAATTTTGATAATTTTATGCACTAGTGAGATCATAATTCATGTGAGTTGGAGGAGTTTATGAGGTGTTTACTTTTTGGTGCACTTAGCTGTCGAAAAAAGAACCAAAGATCATGATTTCTAGGTTGGTAGTTTGGCAACGAAAGAAAGTTTAATTAAATTAGTAGCTGTAAAAGAAAAAGCCTAACTCTCCGGAACAGGACCACACCACACCCCAAAGAAGCTCAAAGCATTCAGCATAGACTGTCAATTTGTCACATAGACTATGATTAAGTGACATGTAAGTACTATAATGTCAAGAGAAATTATTAGTGGGGATCAGTTCTTCTTCTCCAATAAATTTTATCTGAGGTCTGAGCCTAATCTATATACCTACTCAAGTGACAATATTGCAAAGTTAATTTCCCCTATACATCAGTTTGCAGCTTTTCATTCAACTCTGTAACTAAATCATTTCTTCACTTCTTTAAGCTTGAAATAGCTTATAATTTTTAATGTTTGTGAATATTAAGTTAAGGTATTCATCTTCCTAGTTTTCAAATTTAATCAACATGATGAACCAACTACCTTGGGCTATGAACAATCAACTGCTAGTTGAATATGAGTTTTTTTTTTTTTTTATTTAAAGAAGAAAAAAATTGAAATTTTACTAAAAAATAACAAAAAATTATATATCAATCATTGAATTAAATATTTGAATGCATTGCATATAAAATTATTAAAAATATAGTCGATTTAGGTGAACTAATGTGATTATTATAGTTTAGATGTGGAAAAGATTCCAAATTGATGTTGGAGTCATGACTATAATCAATATTAATCATATTTAACACTCCTATCGTGCAGAAAATTACATCCAATGAGCCGAATTGCATATGACATGGAATCTTTAAAACGAATGATTTATCAGAAAGGAATAAACGGCATGAACTGAGAGAGGTCAATTTCAGCAAGTTCAATGAACCACCATTACTAAAGATTTTTTTTTTTCCTTTTTCTCCATTGAAACTATGAATCTAGAAAGCAAAACCCATCAAACTTATCTTTACAAACATGTCAGGAAGATCTTGCTTTTTAAGTTATCAAACTCATAATACTGACCATCATCATGATTAGAGTTCATGGTCGTCTGTCTCAAAATTTTTAAGCCAATGCATTTAACAAGAGCATGAGAATCCGTTGCCATGTGCCTTGCCATAATTACCTAAATTTGAGTAACACAAAGCTTCCTCCTTTATCATCTGTCTGCAATAAATTAGTAATTTTGGGTGAGTTGTAAATGGAAACATTAATTTCATGTTTGATTCAACCTTTTCTTTTCTTACGACAATGGCAGTTAGAGCACACAGAAATACGAATGAGATCTGTCCAACTAATTCTGATGGTGTTTTTAATAGATTTGGTAATTTTACGCACAAAAATAATATGGCATGAAAAATATATAAAAATAATGCAGTTTAAAATTGATAAAAATTTTATATGAAATTAAAAAAATAAAAAATTTATATTTAATATGTCGATATAAATTATAATATAATAATTTTCGTGTTCATACATATATTTAACATAAAACATAAAATATACAAATTATCAAATTTATTTATATTTTAAGTTATAAAGACATTAAATTTAGTGGGAACTAACCGGTCCCCTCCTTGAAGTCAGGAATTTTCCATTGATCTGGAAAGATGGTTTTTCTCAGAAAGAAAAATGATGATGCTATAGGGCAAAGCCTGTTCCAATTTGAAGCAGACCACATGGTATGGGTCAAATAGGCCAAACACAAATTGACATCCACAATCCTGCCTTTCTCCTTCAAGTGGGCACACACATCACTAAAAATTGGTTGTGCTTGTATGTTTTTCCATGAACAATAATATTCTCCAATGTTAATATTATTAACATATATTTTTTCATCTATATGTCTTTTGAAAATGTCGACATATATGGCAATCAATTTAGTCTACAAGGAATGTCACTTATTTTAATATTAAAAATGTCGACATTTTTAAATATTATTATTAAGATTTTCAAGAAACCAGCTCAACAATTGGACTTTGAAAACGTAATTCATCGACAATTTTTAAAAAGCTACGATTTGTGAAAATAGAAAAAAAAAAAAAAAAACCCATTTTCATATGCATCCTAAGTGTTGGTGTGAGTTTCAAGCGAAAGTCGAAATCTTAAAATGAAAAAAAAAAAAAAAAAGAGAGTGGTTAATGGTAAGAGTAATAAGTATCTTTTATATTTGCATTTCGACGTTTAAATTAAAAATGATGAAAGAAAGTCAAGAGAAAAATGAAAATGTATGAATTTGTTGATAATTTTTAATGAGATGAATGATCAAAATATCATTTGAATAAAAAATATCCTTAATTCTAAATATTTTTTACATGTATCAAAATTAAAAAGAATTATTAATTGGTATTATTGTATTGAAATTTGGACATCCAAATTAGAGAAACGTGGGACCTTTGAGTTTTTTTTTTTTTTTTTTTAAATAATAAATCCTTTTGACTTAACCATAAGCATCAGCAAATGCCCCCAACCCCAGTAGACGAATTCGTGCTGACAGGATCTTTCAAAAGATTTTGTTTTTCACCCAATTTTGTGTCGGATATATTCAACTAAGAGTCTCGACATTTCTTCAAGAATCAATCCCACATCGCATAGATTCTACTGATGCAAATTTTCAACAAGAAATCAGCATATGCATCAGTGAGTCTAAATATATTTAAAAAGAAACAATTTACAAGTTCACGGCAACTGACGAGATTCTTTTTGAAAAAAAAAATTAACAATAATATTAATAAAAATAAGCATTATTATTATGGGGATGTGTTCAAATGAAGAATATGATAAAATCTAAGCAATTTTATAGTAATTTAATTTTTTAATTGAAAATTTTAGTAACATTGATTTGAGTGGATTGGAGCAATGCATGTGAGGTGAAGGGAATAAAAGATTGGATAAGGAAAAAAGATCGTGGTCACACTTTGTCCACTACTAGGAGTTTGTTCATCATTGTGATTGGACATCCAATTATATAAAATAGTAATAAGATAATTTTTTTAATTTAATTTTTATTGTTCCATTCTTCATTGAATTAATTTCTTCCAACTTCCACCGGTTTTCTGGTTTCCAAGATTTATTAAATCAATAAATGAATGATTTTAAATGAACAAGTAGCCAAAAATTTGCATAAAAAGATGCTTAATTTAATAAGTTTCATTATACCAATCGACGTGAGTTTCTACCTAAAGGTCAAAATTTTGAAATTACAAAAATGGAAAGAGAATGATAAGGATAAAGATAGAAAATATTTTTTATATTTATATTTTGATACGTAAATAAGACATATGAACGAAAGAGATTACAAAGAAAAAAAATATAAAGATGTTAGAATGAGAATGAAATGATAATATTTAAATATATTTTATTTTAAATTAAAAAATAAATAATTTATAAGATAAAATAATAATGTATCTGAATTAACATGACATTATATATATTATATCAATTTAAAAATTTTAAAAGCTTCTATATGATTTTTAATAAAAATAAAATCAATATATTTTTTGAACTTAAAAATACTTTTAACACTAACCTAATATTAAATGAGTCGAAGTTCTCAACAATTATACGTACATCACTATCTTATTTTTTTTTCAAGTCTAAATCATGCTATGATTCTAAATGAGTGGAGTCACGTTAGCATCAATTAAAATTCATTATTTTAATTTGGAAGGTAACTTAATTAATTTATATAATTATTTTTAAAATAATATATATTAATCATCGTATAATATTTTAACTTAAAAGTTTGCATTTAAATTTTAAGAAAAAAGATAATTTTTATGGAATGAAAAGAATTAATTTTTATATCTAACTTAAACCTAATGATTATGAACATGAAAAAGAAATAATATAAAGATTCAATTAAATAAATAAATAGGGTTTTGGTATGCAAGTAATAAGCTATCAACCGACATTTGATTGGTTTTGTAATTATTTTTTTATATTTTTTCCTTTTCATAAATTGTCCAATTTAATTTTTTTACAATAAACTTTAACAACTTTGATAATTGATATTTTAAATATTGTATTGAATTAGTTAAAAAAAAATCATATTTGAGAACTTTCTTATACAAAAATTTTACAAAATTTTTTTCATATTTAATTAGTAATAAAATAAAAAATAAAAAATTTTAATTCTTATGTCAAAAACAAGCATGGAAGTGAAAAGTGTCCAAGTTGAAGGAAAAGGCCATAATAAAGCAACGTGAAACCAAGAGATGGGCCCAGGCCCATAATAATAGCACGATAATATGGAACATATCACGAGAAAACAGTAGTAGCTAATATTTCACTACTTCACTGGTATTAAATATGAATAGAGTGTTTTTTTTTTAATTTACTTGAAAAAATTAAAGAAAAAAAAAGCAATGAAATGGGATGGATGGCATTATTATGAAAGTACGAGATGGGGATGGATGGGTCGTTATCTAGTAAACAGGGGATTGTTTTCATCTCACACCACACTAAAACCAAGTGAAATTCAGTTTGTATTTGATACAGGGAGCACCAAAGGTGTTCTTGTCAGAATTGGCGTGCTATTTCATTGTAAGAATGTAGACAGTAAAGCCAAAGGCCAAAAACAGACGTTAAAATTCCTAACTTTGGTGGGGTCCTTTTGGTTTTTTTTTTTTTTTTCTCTTTCAAAGTTTCGTGCTTTACTAAGGTGAATTATAAAAAGTTCACTTTTTTTTTTTTTTCAAAACCCAAAAAGGAAGAGTGGTCAAGTTTGGTTTTTTTAAAAAGAAGTACAGATATTTGGAGTGAACGGTGGTGGGGGTTGAAATCAGAATATATGTGGGATAAGAGGGTAAGGATTTTGTAGTGGTGGCGGTGGGGGCGGTGGTGCTGATTCAAAGAAGATGAAATAGAGAGAGAGAGTGGGAACATTCTAAGATTTGGCTTTTTGTGGGAAATGTTGAGGGGGGGGGGGGGGGGGAGTGATGGATGTCAAAAGATGAGGACCAGCTCATCTTTTGGATGTTATTTTTGGTTGGGCTGTTTTTATGCGATGTGGGGCTTCTTTTTTGGTTTGGTGTTTCTTTGGTGTCCTTCCCTGGCTCAAAAGATATAGTGGTTGCTTCATGCACTGAACAATAAACATCCCGCTTGCTCGTTGCCTGTTGATGATAGATGTTGGATTCTTCGTACTTGGAAGAGTGAGAGTAAAGGAAGCTGCTTTGGGACATTTTAAGTCTCTTTTCTAGTGACCCCTTAGAGGTATGCTCGTATTCTAATGCTCCACGTCTACTTCTCTTCATGTTTTTTATTGGCCTATTTTGAATCAATCACTTTGTTTTGTTTCAATTTGAGGTGGATTTTTAGTCCTTTTTTTTTTGTTTTCTTCTTCTGTTCTTTACCTCAGAGGAATAATTCACAATGAAGATATGATCTTGTTGATGTGATGCCATTTTTTGTGTTATTGGGTCTATTTAAAGTTTGTTGATTGTTTTGGTTTTAAAACGGCAAAGGAGAGATGTTTTCGGGTTGTGTACTGGCGTTTTTGGAGCTGACCATGAATTCTTGTGGTTCAGTTGTTAGTGCTTTTATTTTGGTGAAAGAACATGGGTATGTTCCTGAATTGATATTTGTGTCACATATCTGAAGTTTCGATTGTGATTAAATTTACCTCTTCTCTACTTTGAAGCAATTTTATTGGAATTGATGATTAATTAAGTACCATTTCTTTTAGAAACCTCCAAAATTGATTCTTAATGTCCACTAATTTGTTGGTTTCTTCAACTCATACCGAGAAATGCTGTTCCTTTTCTTGCAGGTTTTCTACCTTAAGCATAGGAGTAAAAGGTTAAAGTCTCGACAGAAGAGTTGTAAAGGAATGTGCATTCTGGGTTTTGGTGTTTAGAGATTTCTGTGGACCTCAAAAGTTCTTGGTAATGTTGTAGGTGTGTGTGTGTGTGTGAGAGAGAGAGAGAGAGAGAGAGATCCATTGAGAATAGAAAAACAAAGAGAATAAGATAAACAAATAAGGGAAGGGAGGTGGTGTCAGTTTTGGCAAGTGGGGTGTCTTTGGTTTTGAGAATTATATATGTTTTGAGAGTTTGTGTTGTTGTCCATGTCTTCTTAGCTGACCGTTTCTGCCCGGAGTCCTTGCTTTCTGTTACAAACTGAGGAAGCAACCCATTTCTTTGGGGTCTCTTCCCAGTCAAGTGACCACTTTGTAAAATCACTGTATCTCCATTTATTCCTTTTCTCCCCTTATGTGTCCTCATTTTGTGTGAAAGATTCGATCATACTAAGGAATGCACATGATTTGCTTTTGATCCATCCTGTATATTTTGACATTAAGGAGCTCTGTTAGTGGTGATTTTGGCACTGATTTGTGCCACTGGACTACTGGAGTATTTTTGTAGATTTAAGAGGTAAAAATCTGAGTGCTAGAAAGAGAAGAGGTTTCAATCTTTCTTTAGCGAGATGAAGTTTATGAAACTGGGATCCAAGCCTGATTCATTTCAGACTGATGGAGAGAGTATCAGGTGAGTTTGTGATCTACTTTTATGTAAGGTAACAATTTATATTCTTTTTCTTTTCTTTTTTCCCTCTCTGTATGCTGGAGAGACATCATATGCACGCTAATGGCTTTCTTTAGCATTCTTAGTACTTGCTCCTTCACTTTCCAATTAGTTTTTCCCCCGTATGGTTAAGTTATGGGAGCATATATTTTTCTGAGCTTTTCTTCTCTGGCATTGGGCAGTGCCCAAAATGACCAAATCTTATCTTAAACATTGTATTAACATCGTATTTTAAAGGTGGAATGATTTTTGACACACCAAAAGAAATATTGGGCACAATTTATTATACTAGAAATTTTGGTTTTCTATAAGCGGAGGAAGCAAATGCATTTTTAGAAATGTCCATGAATGAGCTGGTTGGCATAGTATCAAGGTGGAGATTAGCCATATAGATAACATATTTATTCTTGAAGATTGAAGTAGCTTCCTTTCCCCAGCTCCGATATCCAGATACCAGTTTTTAAAGTGTTAGATTCATTTCTGGTTTGGTTACATTCAAGGTTGAACACAACAGTGAGACCCGAATACATAGCTCGTCTGCTAGATTTCCCTAATAATTTTCTACATTGATTGTTGAAAGAACATGTAACAGTATATAGAGAAGAAATCAATCATTCTTAACCTCTGTGAAGAGAAGAAAAGGAATAAAAATTATTTGGGTAAAAATTGCATCAACAGAGTATGTTTTGCTATCGTCAGTTCTTTTAAGTATTTTTGGGCATTCTTCATTATTATTAATTATTTTTCTGACAGTGACATGTCTTAAACACCATTATGTATTTCTCAGATGTATTGAGGAATGATAAAAAAGTTGAACTTAAACCCTTTCTACTGTAAGATATGTCAGATACATCAATTATATACTAATGTTGTTTAACTTGGTCCCATTTATAATTGTAGCAACTTAACTGCTTCTATTTTGTGTAACCCTTAGTATATTGTTCCTCTTTTTTTGTTTCATCTTGATGACAGAGAAAAGACAGAACGACCTTGACTAATTATGAAACTTATATTTATTAATTGAATATTAACAATGTGATTGTTTGTAATGTTTTGTCCTAATTCTGCTTATATTTTCCCATATTCAAGTTCAGCGACTATTGTGCCTTGATTTTTTGCTGACATGACTGGACAAACGTTTATGACAGGTATGTTGCAACTGAGTTGGCAACTGATATAGTCGTTAACATCGGGGATGTGAAATTCTATCTGCATAAGGTATGGACCCATATCAATATGTCATCATGCAAAGGATACAGTGCTTTGATTAGCATAGGAGATATAAAAGGTTATATACTCAATTGTCCTATTTTTGTGGTCCAATGTGCCAATATATTCTGGCATTAACCTGAAATAGTCAAACAGATTGTCTGCCTCTACAAGTTCACTTGAAAGGTGGACATCTTACTTAGGTCTTTTGTTTCACACCAGTTCCTACTGGTGCATGGATTTTTTTGTCGGTCTAATCATCATAATGGTGTCTGTTAATGGTCCAAACTTGTTGGCTAAGCAAATAAGTATAATTCCAAGAGGTCCAGTTTAATTTTGTCTATATTGCAATTCTTTTTTGTCCCTATAGCTTTTTGGTTGCTAACTTCTGTATCTATAATGTTTCTGTAGTTTCCTTTGTTATCCAAAAGTGTGCGCTTGCAGAAGCTGGTTGCTACATCAAATGATGAGAACAATGATGAAATCTACATTCAGGATATACCTGGTGGACCTGCTGCTTTTGAAATATGTGCTAAGTTTTCTTATGGTATGACAGTAACTCTCAATGCATATAATGTTGTCGCAGCTCGATGCGCGGCAGAATACCTTGAAATGTATGAAACTGTTGAGAAAGGAAACCTTATCTATAAGATTGATGTCTTCCTGAATTCAAGTATATTCAGGAGCTGGAAAGATTCTATCATTGTTCTTCAAACAACAAAATCTCTACTTCCATGGTCTGAGGAACTAAAGGTGGTCAGCCACTGCCTTGATTCCATAGCTTCCAAGGCGTCAATTGATACTTCTAAGGTGGAGTGGTCATACACCTATAATAGGAAAAAGCTCCCATCGGAGAATGGAAATAGTCCACAATGGAATGGTGTGAGAAAACCGCAAATGGTTCCAAATGACTGGTGGGTAGAAGATCTGTGTGAGCTTCATATTGATTTATACAAGCGTGTGATAACAACAATTAAAACAAAAGGCAGAGTGTCTGGTGATGTAATTGGAGAAGCCCTAAATGCGTACACCCTGAGAAGATTGCCTGATTTTAGCAAGGGTATGATCCAGAATAATGATTTCATAAAGTATAGGTCGTTGGTGGAGACAATTGTGTGGCTGCTGCCCACTGAGAAAGGAACTGTTTCTTGTAGCTTCTTGCTTAGGTTATTAAGATCAGCAATTTTATTGGATTGTGGAGAAATGGAGAGAAATGAGTTGATGAGGAGAATCGGTCAGCAGCTTCCTGAGGCAGCAGTGACTGATCTTTTAATTCGAGCTCCAGCTGGAGAAGCAACAATATATGATGTTGACATAGTTCACAACTTAGTCGAGGAGTTTGTGACTCACAGTTCCCAAACTGACCCCATTGAAAATGAATTCCAGGAGAGTAGAAGCCCCAAGTTTGTAATAGATGCTTCTACAGTTTTGGTAGCAAAGCTAATCGATGGCTACCTAGCTGAAATTGCACGAGACCCAAATTTACCTCTTTCAAAATTTGTCAATCTTGCTGAAAGTGTAGCAAGCTTTTCAAGACCTTCTCATGATGGACTTTACCGTGCCATAGACATGTATCTAAAGGTAATTTATAAGCTTCTCTGCTCTGGTTTTTACCATTTGGAATTCCATCTTTTCTCTCTTTCCTTCATTGCTGTATATCAAGTTAAAGTAATTCTAAAACGAAATACAGTTTAAACTGAGAAAATGTGTTTTTGTAAGAGCTGTACTCTTAATTTCAGGCCAACCTCTAAAACTAGTTGTTTTCTTCTCAATACAGGGACACCCTGGAATCAGCAAGAGTGAGAGAAGGAGAATATGCAGGTTAATGGACTGCAAGAAGCTGTCACCCGAAGCCTGCATGCATGCTGTACAAAATGAGAGGCTCCCGATGCGTGTTGTTGTGCAGGTCCTCTTCTTTGAGCAAGTCAGGGCTACAGCATCCGCTGGCAATAGCACGCCTGATCTTCCAGGGTCCATTAGAGCCCTTCTCCCTGGAGGGTCTCATGGCAGCTCAAGGACCACTACAACTAACACTGAAGAGGACTGGGATTCTGTGCCAACAGCTGAGGATATCAAGGCGTTGAAAGGGGAGCTTGCTACTCTAAGATTAGGCAGTAGTGGCAGTGATAGAAACGGAAATGATGCTGCTAAAAGTGATGTCGAAAAGGCTGCAGCTAGTAAAATGAAAGGTTTGGTCATGTCAAAGATCTTCTCAAAACTTTGGTCAAGTAAGGAAAGACATGGGGAAATTAGCAGCTCTGATACATCAGAGAGCCCTGGATCAGTCAATGCGGAAGAAACAAAGTCCACTCCGTCCAGAACTAGGAGACATTCACTATCTTAGTTGAGGATGCTCTTATTAGCAGAATTGGAGCATGCCATTGTCAGGGTTTGTAAAATTTTCTCAAATGACTGTAGAAGATTAGAACCGACTTTTCTATGTGGTTTATTTATCCCTTGGGTTTTTCGAGCAAATGGAATGAGGCATATTGAATAGACCGGGGATTGATTTGTAAGCTCACTGCCACATTTTGTTCCATGAAAGGCTCTAGATTGTTCATTGTTGCAACAAGTAGGTTGCTAAGTTTCTTTACAATTCTGATATCCTGCAAAAGCATCCGTTCTTAAACTCAAATAGGATCCCAATGTGCAACAATTCCAAACTAAGCTGATATGAAGCAGTACTGCTTAACATCATGGATGGTTGGATAATTATTTTGTGTAATTACCATTTCTAAGTTTCGAATGCTGTACTGATCTGAGTGTAGCAATCAAGCCATCCCTGCAAACAGGAAATGTGTAAAAATTAATGAATTAAAAGTGAGCTTGTGCTAAAACAAGTTCTGCTATACTGTTATAGTCTGCTTTGGTTAATTTATGCTTCCAAATATTTGGATGGACGGTGAAAGGGATTTCCACCGCATCGAAGCTCTCGTTTTGCCACTGGACCCCCTAAAATGAAGCATTAAAGTATTAAACAACTAAGGTCCCGTTTGGAATTAACCGATGGCAAAGTGAGCTGTGATTGAGCTGTTCTTATGGTTCAATGGCACTGGAAGATACGTTTGGATAACACAACCTGCGAGGTGATTAAGTTTCCAGCCCACATTGGGGGTCCAGTGGACCATTGGTCTATCAACTGGACCCTTTTACCCCCATTAAATATTTTTTATTTCTATTATTGATTTTAAAATTTTATTTTAAATCATTTTTAATATGTTGAATATTAAATAAAAATATTAGAACAATTTATTAATTTAAATTAATGTTTTTAATGATTATTTTTATTTCAAATAAAAATAATTTTATTAATGTTCAATTATTTGTAAAATTTATCATATATAAAATTTATCTAATATTCTTAATAGTTATTTTTTTAATTATATTTCATTTCATAATTACTATTATGTTTACATCCAAATATATTTTTATCACTGATTTTTATTGTATTTAATCTTATCATTATAATAATTAATTTTACAATTATAGTTACTTTTAATTTTATCAAAACCAATTTCACTGTATGGACTAAGAAAGATAAGCACAGACCGCCAACTGCAACAGCCAATAGGTAGGCAGTGCAAAGAAAGTAAAGCTATTAAACTTTCTTATTCATGTTCATTGTTCAATATTTTACTTTTAAGGGAAATTCTGATTGTGAAAACGTTAATACAAATAACATTTTGGCAACATCTTTCTTTTTTTTCCTTTTACCAGAGAGAGCATTATATTAATGGTCCCAACTAAAGACACCTTAAGCTTAGTATTTTGAGAACCAGATTTGATCCCCACCTGACTTTGTGCCATAGGACAAAGTTCAAAGGCCTAAGTCTGGACTACAGGCCTCATCAGGCTAGGTCAAAGCTGGAAGCCCATGTGCTTACATGCCTTTTTTACCATACTACACAGTTCCAAAATTGGACCAGACAAGAAGGAAATATAACCAAGAAAAAAAATAGTAAATCCTTACAATAACACAGTTTTTTTTCAGTAACTTTAAAATATATGAAAACTTTAGTGATACTTGATATCTTTGTATTCCCAATAAAATTAAAGTGTTATTTGAGAGACGTATGTGACTAGAGATAGGGTAAGTAGAGACATAGATAACGATAGACTTTTCTTCCTCACTCATGTCTCGGTCAAGTCCAAGTTTCCCCACCCTGTCTGGGCAATGTCGGCTTTATATGAGCTCTATCTTTGCCTTTTTCTTTGTTTTTTTGCCCTAAAGTCTAAACTATTGCCTATTTTCTTTTGTGTTTGACTTGGAAGGTATTTCATATTTAGGGCTTAAGGATAATATCACGAACTACTTTTAGAATAGTATAAAATATTAAATATAATATTTAAATTTTAAAAATATTTGTTAATTAATTTAGTATATAAAAAATTGTTTGTCCGATGAGTATCATCATTTTAATTAATAATATTAAAGTAAATACTATTTTAATTAATAAATTTATAATTTAAATATTATATTAATTTTTTTTTTAAATTTACTACCTATTTATAGTATTCCCTTATATTTATATCCACAAAGGAAGAGAAGAAGCATTGGACATGCAATAAACAAGGGAGAAAACAATGCCATTTCCCACTTGCGAAACCTCACCGGGAAGTGGGAAGTGTGCTTTTGACTAAGGCATCCGTCTTCCGACTTGGATCCGGACCTAACATCTTTTTGGTCTACTCAATTATGGATAAAATTTACATAAAATTTTAGATAAAATTTATAAAATTTTTTAGTAAAAATTATTTAATAAAAATTTTAATAAAAAATTTAAATTAATAGATTGATAGAGTTTAATATAAAAATTAATAATATAAAAAATTATTTAAAATATTATTTATAATTTAAATTTAATCGATATTTATTTAATAATAAAATTTTAATCAATATTTTTATTCAAACTTTACTGATAAATTAAGCTATGTTTCTAACTCAAAAGAAACACCAGATATTAGTCAATGTGGGTTTTTCTTATGATAATATCAAATTCTCTCTTATCTTTACTCATATTCTAAAAGATTAGCATACAAAAAGCCAATGTCTTAAGACAATTAGACCAAGTGGACTCACCTCAAAAGATGCTTGTAATTGGAACAATCTTTCTTTTTTGTTTTGTTTTTTGCTTGAGTTGATCAAACTCTGACATCACATTTTACCCACCATCACTCTTCTCGTTAAATTTCCAATTCCACGAGAGAAAGAAAAGAGGCCTTGAAAAGGAAAGTACAATGGCTAGACAACTTTGGGTCGCTCAGCCATTGACTGGGAAAAAAGACTAGCAAAGATAAGCAAGAAAAAAAAAAAAAAGCCCCCAAATTTGACCACAATTTCCCACTCTACTCACTTGTTCACATCCCTTCCTCTTACCTAAACCACCCACGTCTTTAAAGTACACACCAGAAGATAATGGGAATTTGGAGAGTAGCTGTTCACACTTATATGTTAATTAATCAATGATTAGGTTGGATTAAACATGATTAAATGAAAACAACCCAGGTCGAAAACTTGCCTAACACTTTTTTATACTTGAGAGACTATTTAGAATTCAACTTTGAATCTTATCATTGAAATTAAAATTTAAATGATTGTTGGCTTGTTAACACTTTCCATACTCACCTACTTTTGCCTAATTAAAGCTTTTTTTTTTTTTAAATTATCAATTAATCAACCCTGTCAATGTACAACTTTAATAGTTTAACGGTTCATGTCATTTGCTTAAATGGATAATTAGAAACAACAATGACGATAATATTACAAAACAGATTTGATATCTGTTTGTCCAATTCGACCAAGTTAAGCTTTAAACTCCCTTAAAGACTTTGAAGTTGGTAGATGTTGGTTCATTGCATCAACCTAAACAGTACAAAAAAAATCAATTTCGACAAGGTTTGGACCACTTTGGCAATTAGTCATCAATGGCGCCTGTGTACTTTCATGTCCAATTCGAGAAGCTTTCATACCAAAAAATGTAATCCTTTTGTGCAATGCTGAAAGAAAGTGGGGATCGGAGGGTGACCATTTAAGGATTAAATTTGTACCCATATACTAAAATTGTTAGCTTTATGAATTAAAATGTCCTATAAATTATTTCTTATAAGCAATTACATGAAGTGAGGTAACATGCGAAGCAGTTTTCATTCATGATGAACAACGTTAAAGCAAGGAAGAAAGTGGCAACAGTTATAACTAGGAAATAGTTAAAGATTTCTGTTTTTTCTTCTTAAATTTTACTTGTATAAATATAAGTTAGAACAATGTAAAATGGATTCCAGAAACTACATAAATTACGAGTATCTTTCAGATTTATTGTAACATATCTTACCTTTCGAAGTGTTTACCTTAACTTGTAGTACATTATTTTTTACTTTTCATGTGTATAGGAATAGATTTAACTTGGTTAAATTATTAAGCCATTTCTCGTCAACTTCTCGATTTAATGATACAAAAAAACTTAAAAAACCATATAAGATGAAAGTTCGAAACCCATCATTTCCTTCTCATATCTCTTAAGAAAATTTTGTAATGTTATGATTATATGTTGCATAAAGTCTAATAATATAAATCCGAACAATAAAGCAAATTAGCTTTTTCATGCTGGATTCATCAACTTTATTGACAAAATATAAAGTTGCTGCCGCCAATATTACCCAACATCAAAAAGCTTTATTATCAAGTATCACAATTCACGATCACAAAAAAAAAAAAAAAATGGTAGACAGCTTTATCAAAAATTCATGAGCATTGCATTACCAATCTTTTATTAATTGGAGGACAATTAAAGTTTTTATCAGAATATTAGTCAAAGTCTAGGATCTTTTGTTCGGTGTTGATGTGATAGGTCGAGACTTAATTTTTAAATTCGTGCGATTTTAAGATTTGAATATACATTCATTCGATATTTTAGATTAGTTTATTTGTCATGATTCATACCTTTGTGAGGTATTATCCGTTTTGGTCCCTTTGACCTTATGATTTAGTCCTAAAAAAATTATCTCACAAGAAAGAGATAGTGTGAGCCCTTATATCCCAAGATCAACTCTAGTATAGATTTAATGCCAGTTCATATCTTTATGAGGTTTTATCTGTTCTGATTCTTCTGACGTCACGATTTTGTCTCATAAAAATGTTTCACAAAGAAGAAATAATATAAATCTTTATATCTTAATCTCAACTCTAATACACAACTAATATAAAATTTATGACTCAACTCTAAGATCATGATATGTAAATATTATCATTATAAATATAATAAAATAATTATTAATTTTAACTCAAAATTTAACTCAAATAATTTATATAATAATTCATATAATTATTTTAAAATTTTAAAATTTAAATCTCAACATTTATAATTATTTTAATTTTATATTGTAATTTCTTTTAGGTAAGCCATTAATTGCTCAAGGTAAAAGGTTCCGGTCAAGGTAAAAGGTTGCTTTTTGACCTGAAAAGATGCTCATCCAATTAAAACTGTAGGTTTCATCGATTTTTCTGCTTCAAAAATTTCTCAATGACTTTCCACTCCTCATGATTCGTATGAAGCCTTAGCGCAAAATCCCGTGAAGACTTGAAACAATAAAAAACAAAACGAGCTGCGCTTTCAAATTTTCTAAATAAGTCCCTATATATCATTTTATTGTATCTAATTAAACCCTTAGAATATTAATTTTGTCGGCTTAAACCATTAAAGTATTTTTTTTAATTAAACCCTATTATTACGGATTTTAATGGTTTCATGCAAAATAAAGATTTAATTAAACAAAAATAACATTTTAAAGGCTCAATTAGTTGCAATATATAAAAGAATAAGAATTTATTTGTAAATTTTGAGAAAGTAAATTTTTTTTTTTTTAGCATTGTAGCCTATTGACTGTGGTACTGTCCCTTTTTGGTGGAAATATATATCTCCATTGTATTTGTTATTATCATATTTTCCATTCCAATAGATAGTTATTGCATTTTTTAAAAATTATAAGTACACAAAAAATTATAATAATAATCAAATATTATATTTATGTATAAAAATTTAATAAATAATTACTCAATAAATTAAAATATAATTAGATAAATCCAATATAAAATTGAATTAAATCCACACATAATAAAACTTAAACTTAAAACCTTAAAGTTCTAACATTTAAGATCACTTTCATTTCATTAAATCAAAATATCATTGGTAGTGTTGCATACTTAAATATAAGTTAATAGTACATTATTATTATTGTGATTTATGTTTAGTTTTTTTTAAAGAAAATGGAGGTTTGGGTTTGTTATTAGAAAAAAAAAAAAGTCACCTCCACCATGGCCACGGTTCCAAACAAGAACCACCTAATTAATGGAGAGAAAAAAAAAAAGCACGAATTGAAAAAAGAAAAACACTTGAAATATCATTGGGACTATTGTCTAAATGTTTTAAAGAATCGGATTATTCATTTAAATTTGAAAGTTTGTTTAAACTTTTAAAAAAATTAAACAAAAAATTAAAATCGATTAAGTGAGTTTAGACATAATTTTTAGCTTTATTTAAATTTTGGATTCAATTTTGAACATAAAATTTAAAATTCATTCGGTTTGATTTGATTTCACATATATATAATTTTTTATATATATATATATTAATTATATAAAAATTAATTCACACATATATATATAACAATTAAAAATAAAAATTAAATATTTTTAATTAAACTTAATTTTTTTTATATAATTTTATTTTTAATTTTTACATATATAATTTTAATTTTTAATTTATATATATATGAGTTAAATATAATCTTATTAAATTAAAAAATTTATTATATAAATTAAGTTTAATTAATAAATTTATAATTTATCTTTTAATTTGAACTGAACTTAAAAAAATTTAAAAATATAAAATTTTGAATTAAACTAAATATAAACAAACATATAAATTATTAATTTTAAATAAAATCCCAACTCAAACCGGACCCGAGCCATAAACACATCTAATTTTATTCTATTCTCTAGCAATTTCAATCTTAATTTCCTTTCAAGAGCGAATGCAAAGGCAAACCAACAATAGCAGCTAAAAGCCAAACTCCCATCATTGATCCATCTCAAATCTTATAGTATATTTTTTTAAAAAAGTAAAATCCCAAACGAAAAAGAATCCATCAAGAACACCAAAGTTCATCCACAAAAAGTTCCCAATTATGACCGTATGTCTTCTCATATTGAATATGAATTATATATATCTATTTTTTAGGGAGAGAACTTCATATTTCTTAAGATCAATTTGCCAATGTGGTCCAATTTTCTCCACCACCCCTTAACTAGAAAGATACTGAGAACCCAATTAATCTAAACAAATAAAAATTAAAAATAAAGATAGGGTAAGGGTAAGGGTACCTATCCAAAGCATATAATCAATGTTATATTTTTTATAAAGGAAAAAAAGAATAATATAGGGCCAAAAGTCAATTGGGGAATTTTTGTTTTCTTTTATCTTCGAAGGGATATTCTGATTACACATGATTTCTCATCCCTATCAAAAGAAACATTTTAATCTTTGGAATTAAGTAAAAAAGAAATTCCCTAAAAAGATGTAAGGCTTTGTTTGGCTAGAATAGGATCTTGAAAGCCACATCCATTTACAGAAAACAAAACCCAAAAATCTGCTAATAAAGAGGAGAGGATATTCATATTCTTTCTTACTCCAAAACCCATATCTTCTCATTCCCTCTTTTCTCTTCCCCAAAATCCTAAAGTTAAAAAAAAAAAAAAGAAATTATTACTAGTAATGTTTTTCTTTTTTTTTTTGGTTAGACTTTCTTTAGAAATTAGACTTCTCTGGGGTCTACAAAAATGGAAAGTCCAGGGGGTGATTTAGTCCAGTCACCGACGGACCCGTCACTGTAGTCTTCCCCAAGCCGTTTGATGCACCATAAATCTTCATCACACGAAAATCTTTTCCAATGTGGGACCCCAACCTTCAACGGCTCACGATTCGCCACCTCAGTCGCCACCACACTGCACCCTCCTTCTTTAGCCAAGTTGTGCGCGTGTGCACACAAGGCATTAACCAACTTCGCCGCGCGTGGCCCCTCCCCTCCCAACCCGTACAAAAAGTGCAAACCGAACGGCCTAAACACTTCCGGAATCGACGGTAACCTCAAAAACGGCAACAACTTGTCCACAATCCTTGTAGTTTTAGCCAACGTTTTCTTCATCCTCGACGCCCCGCGAACTTCCAACCTAAAAACGTCCTTACAATTCCAAACACTCAAAACCGCCCACGACTCTGGCGGGTCGCATAAAAACTTATCCGACCCGAGCCACGACTCCTTCGTATAACAACATCCACGTGGCACTGCCAAAAAAGTTCCCAGGTTAAGACTATTGTTAAGCACCGAGTCAATGTCGCGGGGGAAAAACTCGGTGGTGGAGAAACGGCGGCGGTATAGCAACTCAGCGTCGGATGGGGAAAGCTTGATCAGGGTGGCTCGGTTGGAAACGGGCAGTCGGTGAGCGAACACCGGGTTAACCAAAATAGATGGAGTACGGAACTTGGAGTAACCGCATTTATCAGTGAAGAGATTGACGGAAGCTTGGTTATCGTTTTCCGTTGCTAAGTAAGAATATTCAGCGCCGTTTTGGACAAACCAGTCTTCCATTCTAAGTACCAGCTTTAACCCTATTCCCATTCTCCTGAGAAAAAGAAAAAAAACAAAAACAGAACAAAACCCAGAATTAAAATCATTGATTACTACTGTTATTAACGTAAAAATATTTTTTTTGTTGGTCCATTTTTGATAAAGAGATTAAATGCAAATACCGGTGCGAAGGGGAGACCCGAAGGCCTAAAATGTAAGCGAGTTTGGTGTAAACAGGAAGGGGTTTGGTGGGATCATTGTTTTTGGCATTCCGAGAGATTTTTTTGCCACAAGTAACGGTTTTAATGCAACCTCGAATCATCCCAACTATTTCTTTGGTCGAGCTCAATTCAGCCACCTGCTTGATTACAAATGAAAAATGAAAACGTAAGAAAAAAACAAAAAGAGTGGGATTTTATTAATGGATAAAAAGAGAGGACAAGAGAGAAAAAAATGTGCGAATACCAGCATGAGAAAAGCAGAGGAATGGCGGACCCGGCATATAGGGTCACCTAAGAGGTCGGTAAAGAGAGAGAGTTTGCCGTTGGGACCAACTTCGCATCTTTTTTCCACTTCTTCTACACTTGTTAAATCTTTGCTAGGATCAAACTCTCTAACCACTATAACACACTCATCGTCTCCCATAATTTTTTTCTCTTCTTTTTCACTATTAATGCAAAGTAAAGACTAAATAGAAAGCCGAAAGGATGTATAAAGAGACAGTGAAAGTGGGGTTTTTGAGTGGAGATAAATATATGGCAACGAAAGAGGTGTTTATATAGGTGAAAACGCAGCTTTTTCAAGGCTAAAAAATAGGCTGAATAACTTCTGAAACAAGCAAGAAATAAGAGAGGAAGAAGAGGAGACAGCAGCAGGCTCAAAACCTTAGGACTGTGAAATCAGAGAAAAGAAAAACACGTATGTAGAACTGTATATTCACAAATCATAAGAAAAGAATAGGAAAAGAGAGGGCTTTTAAGCTTCTTGTGGTGTTGTAGTTTTCTTAGTGGAAGAGAAAAACACTTGAGAAGTTCATAGCATGAGAAACAATTGGTATGATATGAAGCTGCCTTTAAATACTATTTTTTAATGTTTTTTATTAAAAGAAAAATGAAAATAATTTTTTTTACTCTCTATCTCAAGATTCCCCGAACCTTTCCTTTTCCCTTCTGGCTTTTTTTATTTCATTCAGTGCTTTTAGAAGTCCCTACCTCTTCTTCTTCTCGTTTTTTTTTTTTTTTTACTCTCCTCAGGACGATCGCAAGTTTAATCATTAAAAAAAATTAAATGGCGATAGTAAATAAATAAAAATAATAAAATTATATTATTAATCATTACAAAAAGGGTGGAAGTGGAAATGGCGGCTATGGCTGCGCAATCTTATGGGTTTTTTTTTTTTACTCATACATTTTAATCATTAAATTTCTATGGATGGAGGCGTTGTCAATTGTCATCATTACTTCGCCTCTTTCTTTGTCCTTCATTCATCATCGTCATCACCATCATGGCCATTCTTTTATTCTTTTATATACATAACCCTTTATCAGTCATTCTCAAGACTAACACTACAGAGACAAGCTATAATCTAAAAATTTTTAAGGTGTGAGTGAAGAAATTTACCAATTTAAAAAATCTACAAAATATTTTTATGTCCTATTATTTACTATTAATAGATCAAAAATTTTAAATATAACCTAATAAAATTATTGATAAATTTTAATTTTGTTAAAGAAATTTAAAAATTACATCCACCTCGCTACTATATCCTAGATAATAATACCAGTTTTATTGGAACATTTACATTGGAGATTTTGCTAATAGACATGATATATTTATAGAAAATTTTTTATTACAATATTTATATTAAAATTTAATAATTTTAAATATTTAAAATAAGAAAAATATTTATCCATACTTCATTTGAATCAATAAAAAAAATTTTCAACATGTCATTGCATCATTTGTCATTAAATTTTTAAAAATTCGGTGATAAATTTGATGACCCGATTCAAATGAAACATTAATTAACGGGACGAAAAAAGTGGCAACGTGGCGAGATGGAAACCGTTAGAAACGGGGGAGATGAGGCAGCCAGGAAATTTTGGCCGTCCAATTGAAAACATGACGTAAGTGGACTGGACTCCGTAAAAACCGCTCTCTTTTTTTTTTACATCAACAGAATAACATATTACTGGGTATTTTCCGATCATCATCGGTATCGTTAACCTCTTCTTTTTTATCAGAATCCAAATGGACGGTCATGATGGCTCCCTTCATGGGTACCTACATTTCTTCACGCTGTCATCGGCAATTTTTCTTCTTTTTCTTTTATGCACGACTAAATAATTTAGATGGAACTTTGCATTATTTTTAACTTCCTTTTAAAAATTCCATAAAGCTTTCCTCGTTCCTAATATTTTCTAAACGTTATTCAATATATAATACTTATTTTACTACAAAAAAAAAGTAATAATGCGATCCATTACTTTCATATCACCACTTTGTCCAATAATTTAAATGAACATATGTAATTTAGTTGCAGAATAGGTTTTTATTTATAAATTTTTTTTACTCGTCTCAAATTTTAAATTTAATTACTAAAGTGTTTATTGAGAATAATCTTTTTATTGAATTATTATTATTAGATTAAAGAAATACTAATCACTACCATATTGCCATTAGACATCCATTAATCGAATTTTACCTAATGTTTATAAGCATCCATTAATCGAACCTTAAATTAAATAAAAGTATTATTAAATTCTTTTAAAAACTGAATTTCAATAATGTTAAATTTGATTCTGAGTATTTGTAAATTTGCAAACTTTGCTCTGCTTTGAAAAACAAAAAACATCAACATTGTTTCAAGCGGATCAGGAAAGTGAATCCGCATGGATAATGATGGAAGGGCGTTACATGTTAGGGATATCTCAATTTAGTTAAGTGGAGAAAGTTGGGAGTTTAATTGGAAGCTGAACAAGGTTTCGACAATGATTGGGTCTTAAAAGGAAATGGACACGTCATCATATGATTACTTATTTATTATCCTATCGTTTCTATAACAAATATGGTTTTTAAAGTGTGTTTTTTTCACTAATTAATTAATTAAAAATAACTTGTCGAAAATGACATAAAATTATTGAGGATTTAATTAAAAGGAACAGGAAAATGAAAGGAAAGTCACTGACAAGTCATGTGAAGTTAGAACTGAGCTTCCTAAGTTTTGGAGATAGACAAATTCCAATTTTTTTTAAATTAATTTTTTATGGTAATTTATGCATAGAAAATTTTTAATGTAAATTTAATAAGTAAATTTATTAAAGTAGGGAAATGGGACCCTACATTTGATGGGTCCCTTTGAAATATCTATGTGGGTTAGTGGTGGAGGTGGTATGTGATTATTGGGAGAGTTGATTTTGACTCCTCTCCAATTGGAAACTAGCAATTATTGTTGCTAATGAAGTATTTTTGTTTAATTAAGATTTGTGGAAAAAATTAGAAAGGTTTCTGTACTTTCATTGCTTATTATTGCATTTTATATAATGCAAAGTTTGTTAGCTCAATTGAAAAAGCTCAAAGGTAAAAAATTCTAGGTTTAATTATAATAATGAGATGGTATGTATGTGGATTTGAAAAAATTTAAATGTGTAATTTTTTTCAAGTAATTTAAGTAAATAGAAGTTAAGGATTAAAACAGATTAAAATAAAAAAAAATAGAATAGTCTTCATTTCTGTACCAAAAATAATGTAGTCTTCTTTCATAAAAGAAACTATAAATATATAATCTTTCAAGTTCTAATTTTTTAAAAGTGATTTATCATCTTTACTTGATAAGATGTTCATATAGATAAAGTTGATTATTTTTCCAGCTAAAGTTCTCTTATTAATAAAAGTTACATTAAAAAAATTAGACTATAAGTAGAAAAGCTTAAAGAATAAGGTTCAACTTTATTTTTTTAATAAAATGTTACAAATTAACATACATGTATAATTGGATTTGGTTTAGTTATAAAACAAAGGAAATCAAGTAACCACAAATTAAGGCGTAAAACCAACCGATTAAATCTTGTTTAAATGATCGGAATGATGTTTTGAAACTATTAAATACCAAGTTCAAGTCTTATCAAATGTGAATTTCGTCTAATTATATACTAATTTATTTGTTTGTTAGTTCGATTTGTTTAGCGATTAATGTATATTAAAAATTGTTCAATTATAATTGTAATTTCTAGTATTGATGTATGTCATTTTATAAAACCAAATAATGCATCTTCCCCATTTAATCAAACCCAATATTCAAAACAAACACAATTAGCTTAAGACAAATAAATTATATAATATATACATATATAATGCCCATAAAATTTCTGTGTAAATAAATTAAGCAACTAGCTAATTAGATAGTTGTTAGCAAAATCATTTCTTTTGTTTCTCCATATGAGAATCCACATCATCTTCTTAATATTATAGTCTAACTCTACTTTCATAATAAGATTGAAATCATTAATCAACTAGTGCAATACCTCACCCTTGAATTCTTTACCAATTTGATGAAGAAACAAATCAAAAGCCTTAATTTAACATTTTGGAGAAGTTCAAGCATTTTATAATTAAAATTATTCACTACACGATGCATATTGCATAATTAATTGTGCTATAAATTCATGGTTCTTTTGTTATCTTTGAGTATCTCTTATTTATATAATGCTAGAGTATTATTTAAGTTTAGAATACTTTATTATAAATGGGTTTAATTAACATTACGTGTCTTTCAACAAATATTATTATATTGCTAGTGCTAAAGTTGAATTTAAAAATTTATGGTAAGTGATTAAAACCAATTAAAGAGAAAAATAAAATTGAAGAAGGTGACTATGTTGACAATGACAGAGAGTTATGAAATTACAATGATGATACTAGTGAAATCAGGGATGACACTACGTGTGTAAATTGATAGTAGTGCTACCAATGATGTGACAATGACAATGATAATGATAATGATGAATGATAATGATAATGATAATGATGGATGATGGAGACAATAAATAATTTATTAATTAACACTGACACATATAATTATTGAATTATAAAATTTTTATTCACCTAAGTCCACACCAAATTTTGCATGATCATAATCTCATGTACATGCAGACATGCAAATACATATATAAAAACATACATGTGAACACAATAAAATCATTAATTAATTATCAAAATTTGGTAAATAGTTTGGAATTGTAACTAATGAAAAAAATTACATCCAAATTGGGCTTTAATTAAAAAACCAATAGTTCTTTCAAATGATTTGGTGGTCAAATTTGCTAAAGCATATTACATATATATATATATATATATATACTTCTTTTCTTGGATAAATATTGGGTCTAGAATAAAGTGGCAATAAAATAAATAAGTTATGATAAAAAATCATGTGATTTGTTGATAAAATATTAAAATTTTAATTTTAATGAGAAGAATTCAATAATTGATAATTCTAAATACAAAACAAAAGTCATGATAAGATTCTTGCTTTCTCATCATTTATTAATCCCTTATTCGAAAATTGTATGTGATCCTAAGAATCCATCTATACATTTTACTAATCAATATTATTCTTTGTCTAAACATATGGTTGAGCCTTCTTTAGATGTAATCAAAAGAGATATTTCGAGTGACTTCTAATCTTGTTAATTAAAAGCATTAGACCCTAATTTGTTGACCGAGCAGAGAATAATTTTTGAGGAGTAATTGTGTCTCCTTATTGAAGGTGGTTCATAATATTACTTAATTATGAGCCTATTTAACAAGAATATGCTTAACCTATGGGCTATGATGACGAAAGAGCTGATGAATATGATAACCATAATAAAACACATGATTCTTGCGAAGTTTTTGGCTTTTGTCCCACATTTTCTTCCTTGGTCAAGATTTACGCACATAAAAAAGATTGATTAGGTCGATAATAGATCAAAATACCTAGCTTTGTTCCAAATATATAACTAGGGTTTAAACCAAATTAGGACCA